AAGTTATATTAAAAATTCAAATGCCATTTAATATTAAATTAAAAACTCAAACATTTTATTAAATTAAAAATATGTGTTACCATTTAAAAAAACAAAGTTGACCCCCTTCCAAGGCATAAGGGATGAACTTAAAAAGTATTACATAGTTAAAAATTCAAGAATAATGTGTAACTAAAGATATTAAACAAAAAAAAAATGTTTAAATTATTATTACTCTGCAAGTAATTGAGTGGGTTATGATAAAAAAATCACCCTGTATATATAAAAATAATTTTATCGTTTAAATATTAAAGCCATTTGGTAGTTTATAAAAAAAAAAAATTATATGCTGATTACAAGTTCTATGATTTATAAGTGTAATATATGAATAAATATATTTATTTATAATTTATAAAGGGAAATGGTTTTATTTTAAAAAAATCGCATAAAAGAAGAATATAAATATAACTTATCTTAAAAAATTAATAATAATAATCTTAAAAAATTTATAATGATCCATACATTTTTCAAAAAGTTATAGCATTATAAAGTTAAAAATGTAAAATATAAAATTGAAAAGTTAACACAAAAATAGCATACGGTAGCCATTTTCACTGTGAAGATAAAATAAAGTCCGAAATTTTTTTTTATTATAAAGTATATTAAATAATCTGTAATTTAAGGTATAATAAAAGTTTCAGTATTTCCGGAACACTTTTAAAAGTTAAGTTGAAAAAGTTAATTAAAGAGCAGGTAAAGGGTCATTATGCATTTTTAAAAAAAAATTATATTAATTTGTTCATTTTTTCGAGATTTCTCTCATTTACGAGAACGAAGGAATTTTTTTCAATTTTCAAAGGTAATCTTTTCGACTAGATACGATTTATGATATTTTGACGTATCGCAGAAAGAAATCGGTTCGGTTCGGTGAGAGCTGCGAAAAAGTGATAATAGTCACAATACAAATTTATTTATAAAAAAAAACCACATCATAGTAAAATTAATACCTTCTCAGCTTCGCAGCGAAGCTGAAGTTTTGAAAATTACTGATTTTAAAAATCGTAATTTTTTGAGAAATGTTAACCATTTATGGGGAACGAGGGTAAATTTTTCAATTTTTGAGGGCAATGTCTTTAACTAGATTTGTGATCTTTTGACGTATCCTTGAGAATAATCGGTCTAGTGAGAGCTGAGAAACACTTAAAAGTGCATTATGTATATTTATTTGTATTTATCAATGATATATAGAATATTTGATAGAAAAAAACAAATACCCTGATTTGACACAAAATATAAGTTCTTAATTATATTTTTTTCTACAATCTTTTAAACTTATTGAATATTTGTATAAGACTTACTATATGAGTTAAATAGAATAATTTAACGATTAAACAGAAATTAAATTAGAATAAATATTTTCCAAAAATATTCTAATCAAGAATCTTGTTTAATCAACTTTTAGCGAAAATTGTTAAGTTTGAGCTTTGTAAATAAGCAAATAATTTTAATATTTATTTTTATTATGAAAACATTTCGCTCATATAGAAATTTTTATTTTAACAGTATTTGTGTAATAACAAACTATATGCTTTTTAATAACATTATTAATATATTTTCAAATTAAAAATGTGATTTATTTGAATTTTTATAAAATTTAGCAACATTTTGTGCAACAATTCGTCGACTGAACATCCTGAAACTTAAATGGATCAATATTAAACATGATTTAATTATAAAAAGTGTATGTTTATTTAAAATTAAATGATGAAAATGTTCAGGTCGATAAAGAAAAGTTTAACCCGTATTTAATAGAGATTGTAGATGAGCCAATAAGGGTATTTATATAATTTTTTTAAATTATCTTATGATTAATCACTCATTAAAAAAAAAAATTAGAACTTGAGACTATATTAAATATTCTAGAATTAATTATGAGGACAGTATTTACTCCTCCACGTTATTCAATAACTTCAATTACAAGGGGAAAGGGAAGGCGCGGTCTTATGATGGAGAGGGCAATGTGTGTGGCCAGAGTCAGACAGTTGATGTGGTCTCATGATGGTGGGTATAATGGGAGGCGTGGTCTTAAGATGGAGGGGTAAGGGTTTGCATAGTCTCATGATTGAGGGTATAGTGAATTTAGGTCATAAAATATGGCAGGGGTTAAACTATAGTGCGCATGAGCGGTATAACTCGATACCAATGGTGGAGGAAATGGTTCATACGCAGCTCTTCTCCTTCATCTACTGGAGGATAGGGTAAACTAAAATTCCATGTTAACTGATAACGTCAACTGATAAATGTACGCATTACATTAAATAGTACATGGCAAGTAGCCGCCGACGTCACCACACGTGTTCTTGACTATTCCTTTAACATATTTACTTGATATTAACGCTACAGGGTTCTCCTCCTCCATCATCATGTCNTAATATTAACGCTACAGGGTTCTCATCCTCCATCATCATGTCCTAAAGAGGGAGGGGTATTGAAATTTAACATAAACTAACCTGAAATGGGTGGGGTAGGGATGAAATCCAACGTAAATTAATTTGCCTAACGTCCAGATTCTTAGTTAATCCTATTTCCAACATCAAATGTATAAATAATTTCTATGAATTTTATCGTCGGCTACCAGACGCTTAAGTAAGTATAATCTCAACATCAAAGTTATCACTATGCATTAATGATCACTGAGGTATGCATTTTATGATAAATAGGGCAATGTTTTTTTTATTAGTAGGTCTAACAACAGCGCAGTTAGATCAAAAAGGCTATGTATGCAATTGACGGATACCTGTGATTTCACTGAGATTGACTCCGCGTTGTAGCGGGAGGCTGTTTGGTTTTATCTGAAGAACATCGAAAATTTCGCGAGCTATTGAGATTTTCTACGCACCGTTAAACCCCAGCTGGTAGCTAGACTCACTGAAAACGTCGGTAACCGTCCGATCAAGTACAATCTCAAATTGGAGGTCTCAAACCATATACCGTGATCGGAAGTACCGCCCGAGGACCTTACCTTTAAGATACGCGTTAAGGCATTGCTATCCGATACGGATATCGAGTGTGCAGTTGATAAAGATTTTGAGGCTATGCTTGCCGAGGAATACGCGTACTCGGGGAAGGGTAGCGGCTTTACTCTATATCGCATATCGACGGCCTTATGCTGAGCGCATACAAGTATATACCCTTCGACGGCTCATCATATATTCCTGTCCCACCAGAAATCAGAGAGAAGCAATCACCAATCCACAGAATATCGACCAGTCTTGTTTCAAGTGATCCATTTTGGCGAGACACGTCGAGGGTGACTGCAAATATCGCGTTGATCGAANGATCCATTTTGGCGAGACACGTCGAGGGTGACTGCAAATATCGCGTTGATCGAAAATATTTTGACGAGGAACACAAGTATGATTTCACCGGGTTGATGTTCCCACACATGTGTCCCAAATTAAAATATTTGGACGACGAGACCATATCGTGTTTGTCAACGTATACGGCTTGGAACGAGACGACGTTAAGATAAAGTGGTTGATTTGTCTGCTAAGAGTCTTCGAACAAGAACAATAGAAACATTTTAACTTGTTGTACATAGCCGACTCTGAAAAATCACATTACGCGTGCATTACAAATTTTTCGAGTATAGTGTGCAACCAAAACCCAACATCATGTCCGCATATACATTTGTAAACGTTGCTTCACCAGCTTCAATGATATGCCTAAAAAGCATATTCTTCGGGGTCAACAAGCGTTGGAGCAACACAAGTTGATATGCGGCAAAAATAAACCTATTTTACCTGCTATGTCGGTAGAAGGCAGTAAGGTCAAATTTGATACATGGGTAAAGACGCAACGGTTACCGTTAGTCACCGGTTATCACCGGTGATATACCGTGGGTCCAATGATCGCGAAGAGTTAGACAAGGTCAGGACGCTTTTTATAGTCAGGTGAGTGAGTCTAATATCGATGACGACAACCATAGGCGGCAGGGTGGAACCGTTTCTGCTGCTCAACCCTCGGTGAGTACAGCGACCTATACTTTAAGATCGACGTGTTGTTGTTGGCTAATGTGTTGCAGAACTTCTGCGACATCTGTACTTCAACATATATTTTGTACTCTGGGCACTATTATACCGCGCATGGTATTAGCTTCGATTGTATGTTAAAGTACCCCGGGGTGAAGCTTAAGCTCTTGAACAACTACGACATACTACTGATGATGGAACAGGGAATTCGTGGTGGGCTAGTGCAGGCCATTAAGCACTATACAAAGGCCAACAATCCTAAGACATACGATTACGATCTATCAAAACCAGACTAATGGAGTGTGTACCAAGACTGTAAGTAATCTATACGTATATATTAGGGTGATTCTTATCTAAATAGGTAATTTTTTTTTTATTAAATTTAATCAGGACGCCCCTTATAATTAATCTATAGGTTAAAAAAATACATTTTGTGAAGTTACGTGATTGTGCAATGATTTTTTCCCGTGCTCCAGAAGGGTTAAAATTTAATAAATAGGTATAAAAATTAGTTTTTTTTACGTAAAACTTGTTAAATTTTACTTGAATCAAAAAAATTGACTAAATAAAATTTGTTTAAATATGTATTTCCTACAAAGTATTATTTTTTACTCTATATTGTATATTTAATTGAATAATCAATAAAACACATAAATACGCCGATTTTTCCCGATTCTAATTTTTTGTGTAATTCAGTCTTTATTAGCGTAATCGACAAATTTTTACAAAATCTAATTAAATTATAAAATTTAGATTTGAAAATATTGTGTAGTAAAATTTTTTCTAAATCTAAATCTTACCTTCGAATATGTACATTGTACAGCGCAAAAGTGGTTTAAAAATCAATCACTAACATTATGATTTTAATTTGGTTTAAGAATTTTTTTACATCAAGTTGTTTGTATAAAATGTGGACTTTGTTCTGTNGTTGTTTGTATAAAATTTGAACTTTGTTCTGTCATCATAACCAAACTAAAGACAACCTTGAAATCGTTGCGATTATTACGATAACACTATTTTAATGTTATTGTGATATTTTTTATACAATGTTATTGCAATTCCTATTTCTAGTTTTAGTTCTAAATCTGTTAGAGTTTTTTTTATTTTATAATTTTTTTAATAATGAACATCAGATCAAAGGACAAAATTTTCCTAATTAATTATGATGAAAATTAAATTTTCGGATCAAAGTTGCCATCAAATATTCAAGTATTAAGTGTACTTTTTTACAATATGAGGTATTGTAAAATGTTATATATATATTACATATAATATATTATAATATTGTAATTTTAAATAAATTTGTCAAAGTAATAGTTAAGGACACGTGTGGTGGCGGCGGCGGCGGCGGCTACTTAACGTGTACTATTCAATGTAGTGCGTAAGTTTAAACGTACATTTATCAGTTGATGTTATCAGTTAACTTGGAATTTTAGTTTACCCTATCGTCCAGTATGTGGAGGAGAAGAGGTACGTATGAACCATCTACCCCACCTTTGTCATCGAGTTATAGTGTTGAAGCGCTCTATAGTTTAACCCCCCCCGTTTTGTATGACCTTAACACACCTTACCAACATCATCATGATACCAGCCTACTCTTACACCCTCCATCACGAGACCAAGCATTCCCCTCTCCCTTTCACATTCATACCATCGGACGGTTAAGGGGCGAAGTGCAGGGCCCAGAATTCTCTATTTTTCCTACTCTTATAATATGGATTCATACGAATTTAAAATTTTGTTCTATTAAATAATAATTGCTTTAACTTTATTTACCTCAGAAGGACGTAGATCACAGTAAAGTTCACCAAGACATTTTTTAATAACTGCTTTTAATTTTTTTAACTTTTCGGTTTTGAATATATCTGATATTTTCATGAGGTTAAAATACTCTACAGAGCATTTATCTAAATCCCATTCATCATTTTGAATCATACATATAAATCTATCTAATATAGTATGTATAACATCAGGAATAAACCGATAATCTAAAATTCACAGAATAATAAAATATAACTTAACAATATATATATAAATATATTAGGGTGGTTTTAGTGAATAGGGATCATTTTAAAAACTTAACTTTTCTAAAATTATACAATCTCAATTAGTTCCA